GCCGTCGAAGGAGTTCGGGGTCTGCGCCGGGGGCGCGGGGGGCGGGCTCAGCCTGGTGATCAGCGCTGCGCAGATCAAGCCTCAAGGTTTATAGGAAAAAAGATGAATCAGAGAGAAAAAGAAAGAGGAAGGAAGGAAGGAAGGAAGGAGAAGAGGAAGAGGAGAGGAAGGAGGAAGGGAAGAAAGGAAGAGGAGAGAAGGGAGGGAAGGAAGGGAAGGGAGGGAGGGAGGAAGGAAAGGCAGGTAACAGAAGTTCTGTGTCTGCTGATGAAGTGGGAAAGTGCTGCTGAAGAAAGGAGATCGAGTTACTTGGTCCCCAGTCGTGAGGCTTTTACTATTTACAGATAACCCGACTAGCCTTCCTCAGCTCCACCCAACCGCGGGGACGAGGAACGTCCCTGTGGGTTCCAAAGCGAGCGCGGCTCTCGGATGGACTAACGGCGGGCGCCTCGGCACACCCTGCCTTCCCAGCCTCCAAGGGAAGGTTGGCTGCCAAGACTCCTGCAGCTCTCGGGGGCCCAACAGCCTGCAGCTGGTGCGGTGCATCCTCGGAAGGGTTTTCCGGCTGGGATGGGGTCAGGCAGACAGTCCCAGGCTTTGTGAATGAAATGTCCTGCTTCCGGAACAGTATGATGCGGGGTGCGGAATAAATTAATGACGGCGGCTCATTTTCTCTTTGGTCTTGTGGGCTACTGTTACACTGTGTGTGGCCAGTTTGTTTTTCTTCCTATTTCACACTCTCGGTTATACCGTTTGAACCTTATTTACACTTTAAGTTTTTCACATCAGAGAAACTTTTCTGCATTTACTCAAGTGTAGTTTGTTTAAAGTTTAATTTTTCTTGCTGTCAAAATGGAAAGGACTTAATGTGACTTCAAACCCCTAATTCCCAAAGTAACTGTATTAACAATTTTATCATTATGTTGATACTCGTACAAATTTTATCAATATAAAATCACCTCCCTTCATTTTGAATCCCATAGTCTTCTTAAATGCTAATTAAAATAGTCCACCTTTTCCAAGAAGGAAATAAAATGTCCTTAAAAATCCTAAGGAATTAAACACCTTTTCCTCACATTTTTGTTTTTATCTAAGACTTATTGTATAGGCATTTTAACACACAAACATGTCACCCTTGAATGAGTTCTATCATTATTTCATTTTAACGACATGGGCTATGCTCTAGAGTAAGTATGTTTTATGTTTTATGCCTTATCTTTTCAGCAGTATCTATTAATCTTTTCATTAACTAGGAGTTTAAACATTTTGCCCATGGCTAGTTTTTATAACCAGTGTCTATATTCCTTAGGTTTGCTGAGAATGTTGCAGTCCAAACCATACATGAGCTCTAGACTTGGAAAGCAGGGTGGTTCTTAAACAGAGAGTAGTCAGGTATTCTAAGAATGTAGGTAAAATTCTTCCCCTTTCACTGCTGAGTAACAGTAATTATAAAAATACCTAACTCAAACCTGGTTTTCTGTTTTATGGGGAAGGACTCTATTCTCTTGGTGGTTTGGGTTATTTTATTTTGAACTGGTTTCTATAGTGATAGTATTAGTATCAAGAGTAATCCAAGAATGGTCCCAGTCTATGGAGTGACTTTTTGTCACTTTGAAAAAGCTGCCCTATCATTTTCAGAGGGACCAAAGATAGAAGAGGTGTCAAGTACTTTGAAAAGTAAAATGTGCTCCATAGCCATAAAAATCTGTTTCCATGAAAAGCAATTGATAGGGTGGGGGACTGCACTGCAGCTGAGTGCCTCCGTTTCTTTTGCAAATAGGCCTTTCAGTTCCCTGGGTCTCCTTCCGACCCAGAACCTCTGCTGGCTATTTAGAAAGTTGCTCTGTCTTGGGGTGAAAGGGAGTAGGTCATCTGCTTAGTGCTAGACTCCACGTGGGAGCTTTTGCTTTTAATTTAATGCTACCTACAAGAATATGAGGGTAAATATTATTTCCATTTCGCACGAGAAGAAACAGGCCCAAGGTGGCTCAGTGACTTGCATCAGGTCATGGAAATATCAAACTGTGGAACCAGAATTAGAAACCAAATTGGATCTTGTTTTTTAAAGATCCCCTATTACCAACAACTTAGTGCTTTTAAACTTCTTTTAAAAAAATAATCTGGTGAAAGTTTTAGTTTCTCCCTAGGAAAGAAGGGGCCATACCCTCATATACACAAGTTTTTGCATGTAATTTCAGAGACTACCTACCCTCTGAAGTCTTTATCCAGGCTCTCAAGTCTAATCTTTGCTCTAACTTTGTTGCTTAGTGAGACAGCATGTACATACTCTGCGTATTACGCATAATCTTTTACTGATAGGAGCAGCCTCTGAATTTAGTAGTCTTCAAATAGGCAAAAATTCACTCAGTAATTACACAAAGAAAACATGATCTTACATTTCAGTTCATCCTGTGAAATACTTAAAGTGCAGTTTAGGACAACAGTGCTTATTTGACACCAGGTCTGTTGTCTTGGGCTCCTTCTGACACAGTTTGGCAAGAGCAAACAAGATGGACTTGTGCCTTTAGCCACTGAGTGGAAATGATGGGCCTCTTTTCTTCCCCAGGGATGGCAAATCCTGAGGTAATTATAAGTAGCTGTAGCTCTCACGAGGAGGAAAATCGCTATACTTTTAACCAGAATGCATTGCCGTCTGAGGAGCTTCTATTAGAAGACCAGATGAGGAGAAAACTCAAGTTTTTTTTCATGAATCCTTGTGAGAAGTTCTGGGCCCGAGGCAGAAAACCATGGAAACTTGCCATACAAATTCTGAAAATTGCCACAGTGACTGTTCAGGTGAGCAACTCTGATTATGAGTTTGGTGAAAGCCTCTTTAAAAACAGAGAACAATGGACAATTAAAAAAAAAAACAACACCGTTTAACTGCTTGCATAATGGAGAGCAACAAATAAACACAATCTTAACCTTTTTCTCTCTAATGTTTGTAGAATATTGTGGCTTTATTTTTCTTACCTTTTTCCTTCTCATCTTTCATTACATTGTAATTTTAGTCACACATTCTAATTAGTTTTCAGCACAGGAAATTTTTCTTTTAAAATATTTTGGGAAACCATATTTTGTGATTGTTACATATACCGATTGCGATTTATTCTTATGAAACTGGGTTTTCTTGCTGGGAAAAATAGTAGTAACTCTTGCTAAAAGCAGAACAAAAATAGAAGATTCTGACAGTGAAAAATAGATGTGAAAGGTTTATTTTAATTTTTTTTGTAAAAAAAAAACACGAGTAAAAAACAAGTATTGAAAGAGAACTTTTAAAATCCTGACATTACTAACTTAATTGTTTACTGAGAACAAATGATTATGATTGGTAGCAGCTAAGGCAATTTCTGTAATCAGATTAGTAGAATTCTTGCTTAAATTCTGATACTAGGTATTATATTAAGGGAAATGAACACTTGGCTGATTGTACTGTTCCAGTACCTTCTTTCATTTAATTCTAACAACACTCTTATCAGGTAAAAGTTAGCTTCCCTCATTTTATAAATGAAGAAGTTGATTTTCATAATTTTGTTTTGTTTTTTGGTATTGGGGATTGAATTCCGGTCCTTGTGCTTGCAAGGCAGGCCATGGAACCACTGAGCTAAATCCCTGGCCCCCAATTTTCATAGTTTTTAAAAGCTTTTCAAGACTTTGAAAGCCCATTTTAACTAAATGGGAGTATTGTTTTCCTCAGGGTAGCAATTGGTACCACTTGAATATTTGCTGTGTGTCATATCAAACACTTTATAGACATTATCATGTTCAATTCTTCAAACAAATTGGATGTAGGTAGTGGTATCTCTGTTTTACAGTCAAGAACACTGACATTTGCTGTGGTGAAATAACCTGCTGTAGTCGGGAAACTAGAAGAGTAGAACTAAGATGAAAACTCAGATTTCTATCTTCTAAGGCTTATGCTGTTAATTACTCTTTAATCTTTTGGGGAGTTCACCTAACCTTCCTTTTCAAAAGGAGAATTTGCCAGTAGTTTAAACCTGTTGGTAATAAGCATGGAAAAGCTGCTTAGATACATTTTAAATAGTTATTGAGAATTTCCTAATTGTGATGTATCTGTGCAATCAAACAAAGCACATAACGGCAACTTTGTCATGGAGCAACTGCAAACAACTTAGAGACAGATTATGTCTTTTCAGGAGAAAGGAATTTTTCTGTTAAATTGGAGATTTTGTGTTTGCAATAACAGGAGCCCTACTAAAATTTTCCCTATTCCCACTAGCTGGCTCAGTCTCTGAATTATAGCAGTTCGTTCAGCCACTCATGCTGCCATCTGCCCTCAGCCCTTGAAGACAGGATCAGTTGTCTTCTCATTTTATCCTCAGTACCTAGGGTGATGCTGGCCTGTGGAAGATACTCATAAAACTGATAAGAATGTCTTCATTTTGAAGATTTTTTTGGTCATTGACTTTAAGAGATGTAAAATAGCTGAACTATCAAGCTTTTACCTTACTGTGATTTGAGTGAAGATACTTAGCTCCAGAGTCTTTTCAGAAAGGGAAAGGAGCCAGGTGGAGTTCCGATGGTGACGTCTATCATACATCACAAGGGAAGGGAAAGGGGCCTCATCAGACCTTGGATTACTTGTGTGCCTGATAGGACAGGTAGTAGGTCTTTAGCACAATCTAAATTTAGATTTAGTCTGTCAGAAACAGTTTCCAATTTTCACTGTACACTTGCTAGTGGTGTGAGTTGAAAAAAGCGTCTAGCTTTTCTGAGCCTTTATGTGTTCCTTGCAAAATTACTACATTTCGAATTGTGCTGTGGAATCAATAAATGTAATAAGGCAGGTTTCTAGAATAGTGTCTGGCAATATTCTCGGCGTTCTTCCCCCTTTCATATAAAATATGGCCTGCCTCACCCTGGGATCTAAACTTAAAGAAGGGGGGTATGAAACAGACTTGGAGTAAATCAAATCAGCTTTTTGTTATTGTGCAAAATACCTGGAAGAAAATAACTTAAACAAGAAAAGATTTATTTTGGCTCATGCCTTTTGGGGTTTCAGTCCATGATCAATGGGCTCCATTGCTTTTAGGGTTGTGGTGAGGCAGAACATCATGGCGGAAGAGTGGCTTGAAGGAAAACTGCTCACCTCATGGCAGCCAGGAAGCAGAGTGGGTGAGAAAGCCAGAGAGGAAGGGGCCAGGGCAAGATATAGCCTCAAGGCCACGCCCCATGACCTATCCCTTTCCACAAGACACCTTGAAAGTTTCCATTACCTCCCGATATTGCCATCAAAATGTGCATTTAGAGCTTTCAAGATCCAGGCACCTTCTGAAAGCCCCACCTCTGAACACATGAGCCTCCTGGGGGACATTTTAGGTCTAAACCATGACAGCAAGCTTAGGAGTATGATTAAAAGAGGTTATGTCACCGTGACTGCAGTGCAGTCAAACAAATTTTTTCCATGCAAACAAATGAATTTCATGTAAGACTCTGGGGTCAATCCTACTTGAATATTAAGGACGCATTATGTTAATATACTTCAAATTAGAGATAAATTGAAAAGATTTTTTTTCTAGTTTTGATCTTATTGTCACAGGCTTGGTAACGAGACATATAGCAAGCATAATTCGGTCACAGGACTTGGACTTTCTTAATGCAGTGTTATCAGTCAGGCATGAGCCTTCTCAATGTCCTCTGGAATTCACTGTAAACTCATCTTGCCATTCCGGCCCCTGTACCATCTGCCTCTACATTTTTATTCAGATTGTTACCATTTCTTCTCTTCTTTTAAGCTGGTTCTGTTTGGGCTAAGTAACCAGATGGTGGTAGCTTTCAAGGAAGAGAACACTGTAGCATTCAAACATCTCTTCCTCAAAGGATACGTGGACCGCATGGATGACACGTATGCAGTGTACACGCAAAGGGAAGTCTACGAGCAGATCATCTTTGCCGTGAATCAGGTAAATGAAGTGTACCTCTTCTTGGGAGAAAAAAACAGACTGGAAAAGCAGTAGCAATGCACTTTATAGAAACTGATGCTGAAGCATAGTAGGGTGAACAATTCTACCTGGAAATAACTTAGGCATTACACTGTTGTTAAGTTTTTCTGAAAGATATTGCCCGCAAACTTTTACAAAACTAGAAATTGAGAAAAACCTTTTTTAGTACTGTGAGAGAGAAACTTTGATAGTTTATTGAAAGAATCAGGGTTAGGGGTTTGCGTGTGAGCCTCAAAGATTTAAAATTGCTGAACATGACCTGGGACATAAGTAGTCATTAAGTCTTCCAATCTTATTTTTTCAGAGGCTTTTAGCAAATAATGAGAATATTAACTTTACAGAGTTTGTATAGCAACCAAGACTTGAAAGTTCATTTAAAAGTAAGTAAAGCTTTGACAATGATTTTATTGTGATACTAACTGCCAACAAAAAGTAAGCTTATTTTCCATACAGATGAGTTGTATTCTTAGTCTGAGTTTCTGATCAATGCATCTTTATAAACAGTACTTTAACAAAATCCCAAATTTCATACTGTGTATATTTCATTGAAAGTGCTCTTGAAGTCAGTATTTCCAGTGTGGGTTTAGTTTACAGACCACGTTTCATAATTATTATGACTCTTCTAAAAAAAATGATTATAGTGCAGTGCAGTTCTTCATTTTCCAGAGACAATCTATGCAGTGACGTGGTAAATTGTCCAGATACAATATGTCCTTATGACACTAAGTTTTTAGATAGCAGTAGGAATGAGAAAACCAGTAATAGATACAAGCTGCTAAATTGTTGAACAGAATTATGGCTTGCAATTTATAGGGGAAAATGACTTAATCCTGGACATACTCAATTTTGAAAATTTTGCATTGAGTGTAGCAAGTTTCTCTACAGCACTGTGCACCAAACTGTAGATTGGTGTTTGGGGAGGATGTGGACTGTACAGGTAAGAGATAAACAGCCCATTATATTCATTACAAAATGTCGCCTTTCTTACTAGGCCTAATCTCAGTCTTTAAAATACACTGTTTGGTATTGGGTCATTCTGCTTAACACATCTCCATGACCTTTCCACGTAGCAATCCATATAGAATCCCTGTCCTGGTTGTCTCTTTCCTACTGTTAAAATACCAGTCTCGATAATTTGGAAATAACCAAAATTTATTTCGCGCAGTTCCAAAGGCTGGAAAGCCTAAGCTCAAGGAGGCCACAGGCTCTGTGTTTTGCTTCTTTTTTCTCTGTTCTCACACGGTAGAAGACATGTAGAAGGATAAAAGGACATAACTGTTTCTTTTGGTACTTTCGTAATCTTATTGATAGCATTGTGAGGGCTCTACCTTTGCTACTTAATCACCTACTAAAATCTCCCTCTTAATACAGCCATATTTCTGTTTAAGTTCCAACATGTGGACTCTGAAGAGACATGATACATTTAAATCATGGCACATGTAGGCAAATAAATAATACTAATGGCAACGAGTCCCTGGGGTTTCCCAGCACTATTAGATACTTTTAGCTGAAGATTAAAGTATCTTGATTAAATTTTTCATGAACCAGTGGGAATTTTGTGGTTAGTGAGGTCAGTTATTCTGCATGCATCAGGAGAGCTGAATGGGGACAGTGGGGTTGATAGGGACCGTGGGACTGATCGAGATACTTTGTTTTATGTAAAGAGATGATTTGATAGTGGAGGTGATATTCCCCGAGGGAAAATGACAGAGCATCATCTCAGTCATTGTGGTTATTTCCAGCTCATACTGGTTACATTGACAGCTTAGCCCCAAGTTCTTACTAACTCGATGATCCCTGGGGCTCATCCTGATAAAAACTGTGATCATAACACTTTGCTTTTTGTATGTTCTTCTATATTTGAGTGTCAAAGAGTTACTTTGTGTTTAATAACTATATCTTGGCTTTCCTCCATCTCTTTTGGGTCATCTTTGCTGGCTCCTTTTCTTTGTTTGAATAATTCTGACAGATCTGTCCTTTTCCTTAAGAAATTTCCTGCATTACCCAGCCTTGGTCATCACCAGGACAAGTTGACTCCTAAACAGTTGTTCACACTGCTGCACAGCTGCAGGGAAGAATCACTCTGTCCAAAGAAGCTCACAGTCTCTTTCCAGCCTGCTGCCCAGACTGGTTTTTCTTTCTGGTCTAGTGCTTGGGTTTAAAGACCTCAGGGTCTTCTTGGAGTCATTTACTCTTGCAGCTCAAACATTGTGCATAACTTTCTCTGTCTGGTTGGCTTCCTTTATTCCTCATCCACCTTCCTTACCACCTCATGGTGGTTTTCCAGGGATTTCACCTAAAGTCACAGATCTTGTTGCATAACATTTCTCATGATATAGATATATGTGCCCTTTTATCTACACATCCGTCTATATCTCCATCAAACAGTGTTGAGCAGCACAGCGTTTGATGTGTCTAGTTCATGAAGGTGGAGATAGAAAACAGTCACTTAGATGTTTGGAATAAGTGAATAAGCTCGAAAACCTCATGTCTTTTAGGGTCCAGTGATCACAGAGGGGCCATAAATAAGTAACATATAATCAAGGAGCAACCAATTTTAATTTGCTTTAATTTTGGTGCCAATTACTCAGCTAAGGACCTTTCATTTTGTTTTTATTACACAAAGTCTGACCTGGGACCCTTGAGCTGAGTGACCATCTCTTCTTAAGGTAGAAGGTCAGAAGAGATATGTGCCAGTCCAATTAAGCCCTACAGAGGCCATAGCCACCACTTGCATGCCCTGTGCAGCCTCCCTGGCAATTCCCTGACTTCCAGCCATAGTCTCCACCCCACATTCCTGTCCCAGGATTCTCTGGCTTGATCTCTAGTGTGGCCCTTTAGCTGGTCACAGCCCTGCCACTTGCACCAGACCATCCAGGTATTACCTGCTACTCAGCCCTCCACAGAGAGCCTTAGACAGCCACGAAGTCTGGCTGTGACATAACTTACGATGTTAACAGCTACCTGCAGCCCTGGGCTTCAGATTTTTGGCATAAGATTCGGTGGTCGGGAGGTTCAGAGCTTCAGGGGACCCTCGTGGGGATCACCCCACACATACATAGAACTCATCACATATCTGACTCCAACTTTCCAGAGTTACCTCCCATGATGCACCCCACTTTCCAGGTATACCATGCCCATGCTGGGGGAAAAAAGAAAACCCAAAAGCTCAATATCTCAGTGATACACTATCTCTTCAGATGTGTAGAACATAATACTGCTTAATAACATATGCAGCTTGCTTCTATTATTGCAAACTTCTGGATCTTTTTCTCAATCCCAGGGCTAACAGAAAGCATGGGATGGTAATCATGTATCTTATCTTCAAAGTCTGCTCACTCATTGCGCATAAGTTAGCTATAATACAGAGCTACTCACACAATATGATGATTTTTAAAATTTACCATCAGCTTGACAAATGCCCGCTCACTTACTGTGGCCCCCAAGTGCTGGCATTAAAGCAGTGAACTGGATAAATACCCTTCCCTGTGGAGCTTGCATTCTCATGGGAGAGATAGACTTTTTAAAAAATTGACCAGAATTATTTGATTTAAAGTAGTGATGTGTGCTGTGAAATAAAACGAAGCAGCGTAAGACATTAGTAGTGGGCTCAGGATGTCAGTTTAAAAGGCTTTTCTGAGGATTTGAAGTCCGGGGAAGAATATTCCAGGATGAAGGAGTAGCTGGCAACAAAGGTCTGGGCAGAAACATTTGGTGCATTTGAGTAAATGAAAGGTAGGAGTGCAAGTGAGAGTCAGTGAGGGGAAAGACAGAGAGAGGCCAGGGCCAGGCCTTTCCGGGCTTTGCAGTACCTAGAAAGGAGCTTTGGGGCTTATGGTGAGGGGGCCAGGGAGCCATAGACGCTTTTGATAGGGCAGAGACTCTATTATACATAGACCAGAGCTAAGAGGTATTTGTTCAAATATTTATTTGGTGTCTATGATACATCAGGTACTTGTTTGGAGCAGAGATAGTGCAGTAAGCAAATAGACAAAGTCAAAAAGGTGACACTGTAATAGGAAGAGACAGGCAGTGAACAAGTACATAAGGACACCATCTGTCAGTTATAAGCACTATGGGAACAATATGCAGCAGACAGAATGAACCACTGGGGTGGCCAGAGAAGGCTTCGTTGGTAAGGTGCCAGAGCAGAAGAGCAGAGATAGTAATTGGGGCAGGAGCTGGTGGCTGTCTCAAAGGAGAAGGAACAGTTAGCAGGAGTGTTGAGCAGGTTCTTGTACTGTATTTGGTATCAGTGTCCCAAGGGTTTCACATCCGTTAATTCACCAATTCCTGAGTTCTCAATGGACACTAGACTAGCGAGAGACTGGGACTGGAGGCAGGAAGTTGAGAGACTAATTAGTCCAAGGGGAGAAACGATGGTGATTGGACTAGGGCAGTAGCGGCAGTGAAAGTGATGAGGCAGTCGGACTGTGCTGAGGTGGCTAAGAGCTTTGGACGGGTCCCACAGGGAAGTACCTCGAAAGCAACACATTACTTTTTGATAGACTGGAAGTGAAATATGAGAAAAGCAGTCTGAAAGACCTTTCATAAGTTTGGTCCTGAACAACTGATGGGGTTAGGGAGTCATTTATTGAAAGGGAATTATGGTGGAGAAGTAGGTTTTTCCGTTGCACATTTAGGTTTGAAATCCTCCTTAGACACCATAAGTGTCAGGTAGGCAGACTGCTCCCCGTGGATGGCATTGGATGGAGAGATCAAGGCTGGAGTCAAACGTGGAAGTCTTCAGTGTATAGATGGTGTTTAAAACACGAGACTAGTTGGAGTCACTTGTGGAGAGAATGTGGATGCAGAGGTTGGGGGCTGAATCCAAGGGGACTCCAAGGGGAGAATGGCAGGGAGGATTCATCAATGAAATCCGAGAAGAAGCAGCCTGTGGCCAGAAGTCTGGAGAAGAAGTCGGGGAGAAACACTCAACTGCATCAAACGTGGTGAAGGAGTTAGGTTAGGGCTGAGAACTAAGCATTTCACTTAGCAGCATGTTGCTACTTGGCAACCTTGGCAAGGCCTGGCTCAAAATCTATCCCCTAGGCCCAGATCATAAATTATTTCCGTCATTTATCAGAGCCTGTTTCACATGCATCTTCAGCAGAACTGCTTTTCTGTGTCCATCACACAAAGTGCTAATTCCAAGAGAGACAGATGTCCTTCCTTATTTTCTTTCATATGACCAATTGTGCAACCACATTGCTCACTGCAAGCTATGAAAACATCTATGGAAATCCACTGAGTTTACGTAGAGAGTTATTCCAAGGTGCGATAAGGTTTTCATTTGTAAAAGTAACATTTTATGTTATTTAAAGGAGTCATTAGAACAAGGGAAGTATTTCTGTAAATGTGATTAAATGTATTTTTGTCAAGATAATGATTAAATCAACCTTTCTTTTTCTTTCTCTTTTTTTGTACTTGGGATCAAACTCGGGTCCTTGAGCTTGCAAGGCAGGTGGCAGAACCACTGAGCTAAATCCCCGGCCCTTAAATCAACATTTTTTTAAAGAAAAGGTTTTAAAGGTCCATTTGGAACAAATGTCTCTCACTTCTTAAATCACACTAGTAAAGAACTCTGACCTTGCCTTGCAGGAAATAGTTCAATGACAAAATGTGTATTCACACTGAATGTAAGAATTACTCCCTGAACACTGTTCTTTAAAGAAGAAAAGAACCTCACAGGTGATGCTCTAAAGCTTTAGACTTTAGTTTTGGAGATAAGGAACCAATATCTCAGAAACTTTGCGACTGAGATGAGCCTTGAGCCTGGAACTCTAACTCAGAAACACTCTTTGCCCTCCCTTCCTGGTGCTCAACAGCAAGTCCTTCACTCTGCACTCAAGCTGGATGTCTCCACCGGGGTGGGGAAGGGGGGCACCTGCCAGTTTCAGGGGTGAGGAGGTTAGGGGCAGACATGCTGGCTTCATTCTGCCCTGGCTGACATTTCACCTCCTGCTCCCCTTGTGTTTGAAGTACCTGCAGCTACGCAATGTCTCGGTTGGGAATCATGCTTATGAGAACAAGGGTACCAAACAGTCTGCTATGGCCATCTGCCAGCACTTCTACAAGCGAGGACACATCTGCCCTGGAAATGACACCTTTGACATTGATCCAGAAATTGAAACAGGTAATGTTCTACATGCTAGAGCTTTAGTTTATAACTCCTTGATTCACACTCAAAATTAGCAAATTCATCTCTGAAATCATTGGTATGATTTGTGCTATTAGAGCATAGTAAAAACTTTATAGAAGTTCTTATGTATCAGCTACTGTGCTCTATCTCGGGAATGCTCAAAGAAACCTAGATAAGGCAAGGTTTGTTATTATCCCTATTTCCTAGAAGACTGAAGTACAGCTGATCAAGCTAACTGACTTACTCAGGACAGACTAATAAGAGGAGGCCTTGGGCTGGGGATTTAGCTCAGTGGTTCTGCCACCTGGCTTGCACATGAAAGGTCTTGAGTTGGATCCCCACTACCAAAAAAAGAGGTAGCCATGAGCTTAGCCATATACTCTGTTGCCTCTCATAGGCATTGGTTATGGGTAAGCTGGTTGAATAGACGGGCATTATGCTCACAAAACATGCTTAGGAATAATTTATTATATTGAGAGGACTAGTAAAGGATAACAGTACCAAATAGAAAAATTTTCTAAAGTGCTCTCTTCCTTTTCTTAAAGTAATATATTAAGGAAAAATGTCAATACATAAAATATTTTAAAAAATAGATCCTTTACCAGCAGTTCTGCACATTTTTGGCACAAGGAACTGGTTTCATGGAACACAATTTTTTTATGGATGATGTAGGGGTGGAGGTGAGAGAGGAGAATGGTTTTGAGATGATTCAAGGATATTAGAGGGCTGCAAATACAGATGAAGAGCCCCTGATTCACCCACCTGACACTTACCTCCTGCCGTGCCCCCCCTTTCCTGAAAGGCCACCAAGCTATACAGCCCCCCTCCACCTTAAAGCAAGTAGTGACCCCTTCTCTAACCTACTTAGAAAAGCAGGCATTGTAAGTGCTTCAGATCCTCCACTTAGAGTACAAAGGCAGGAGGGGAGGGACTCAGAGTTGGTCAAGAGTACAGAGACAGGAAGGAAGGTGGCATTATATAGGACCCTAAGGAGACAGATATCAGGCCTTTCTCTAGTCCCCAAGCAGTTCAAGAATGGTATGGTCTTCTGGATCTTAAAGATGCATAAAGTGCTTTACCAAGTCATACTGACGAATAGCTTCGAAAAACCTTAATTCAGAGAAAGAGTGGAGTCTCCATAACTGATCTTAAATGAGTTATCCTTTCAAAATGAAGTTGTTTTTGTTTTGTTTTGTTTTTTTTAAATAAATTTCAGGCACTGATCATGCTTTTGTTTCTTTCCATGGCAGAATGTTTCTTTGTGGAGCCTAATGAGTCTTTTCATATTGGAACATGGGAAGAAAATAAACTCAACTTAACACTGGATTTCAACAGGTGAGGGGAGCAAGTGTGAGCATAATGTGTGTGTGTGTGAGTGTGTGCATGTGTGTGATTCCACCACTAAAGCCTTCTGTTTTCTAGGCTCCTGACAGTGGAGCTTCAGTTTAAACTGAAGGCCATTAATCTGCAGACGGTTCGTCACCAGGAGCTCCCTGACTGCTATGACTTTACCCTGACTGTAAGTGTGCACTGCACAGCAGTTTGAGACTTATCTTTGTATGATCCAGATTTCTGTCAACAGGAGTTAGTATCAAAAACTATATTCCTGATACTCAATTATGGTGTGTGAAAAATCAAGTATCAGAGATTGAGGCTAAAAAATTTTTCATGGTATAGTATAGTGTAATTACTATGCAGAACATTTAAAAAGATAAAAAAAAGCACTAGAATATGAGACTATTTTGAATTAGAGTACAAATTTTGGCCCTGATATTAACCAGAAAAGGATGAATTATCAGTATCATTTGATTTTTTAAAAAAACCTGATCTCTCATCCACAGCTTCTCTTTTTTAAAAATGAAAATTTCAGAATTTTTATAACCCTGATGCCTTCTTCACAGGCCCTTTCATGATTCCTGAGTTAGAAATATATTTATGCTCTGAATTCCTAGGTATTTTGTGGATGTTTTTGTTCCCTTTTGTTTAATTGTTTATTTTTCATTAAATTTATTGGTGCTTTTTAGATATACAGTACAGTTACATTCATCATTGGGATCTTGTACCTTTACATGATGGACCCAGGTTCTTATTTTTTCCCCATACTCCTGCCCTCCTTTCACCCCGCAATCCTTCACTATTTACAAAGTATGTTTCCATTTTTTCCCTTTTTTCACATTTTTTTCTTTTCCCTTCTTTCCTTTCCCTTCCCCTACGCCTTTAGCCCTTTTCTTCCTATTTCACATTATCAATTATACAGTTTGAACCTTATTTACACTTTCAGTTTTTCACACCAGAGAAACTCTTCAGTATTTACATGTGTGTCCTTTTTATCTCACTTAAGAGTATGGCCTCAACCCAACAGAGCAAATCAAACAGGCAAGGCAAGAAACTAAAAGGAGAAGGTGAAAAAGTAAAAAGGGGCAACAAAAGGCCAATAACATGTCAATAATAAGTCAGTATATATCAGTTATAACCAGCAATGTCAATGGCCTCAACTCACCAATCAAGAGAAATAGTCGGGCAAAATGGAATAAGAAGCAAAATCCAACAATATGTTGTATACAAGAAACACACCTAGTGCAAAAAGAAGCCCATAGACTGAAAGTGAAAGGATGGAAAACAATTCTCCATGTGACAGGAGCCTAGAAAAAAGCAGGGGTAGCAATCTTATTTGCAGACAACGCAAATTTCAAACCAAAACTTATTCTAGTATTATTGATGTAGGCCGGTACTGTATTATACCTCTGTGAATGTAAAATACCTTTTTCCTGATTTATGATACATAGTAGGGACCGTGCTTTATCAGAGCTACATTTAATGATATTACTCTAGAATGTTCTCTTTCCAGATGATGATTAAGATGCTAATAAAAAAAAATGGTGTCAGGTACAACAACAGCAACAGAACTTTGCTGTTTTCTGGATATTATTCTTTTCTTTGTTTTTGTGTGTGTGTGTTTTTTTAATGGAATGTGCTGAATGTCTATAATTTTGTTCAGATGACTGCAGAACCAGGAAAAGCTGTTGCTGCTATAGATGCATAACATACTGCTATTATTGGTCTTTTTTTATAAATATAAATATATATAAAAAAAGTTATCCCAATTTACTGTGTTGAGTTGGCATCGTACAGAAATGGACAGCCATATTGGTCTAGAAATGTTAATTTTTTTCCCATTTGTACATGGGTAACACACTGTATTAAATATGTAAGGTCATATCTATGTGGGTTTGATTACAGAAACTAATAAAGTATTCTCTAAATATTAAAAAAAAGAATAAGATAAGACTACAAAAGCAAGAAGCAATTTAAATATGTTAAGGGACCATTTTCATCTTCAGAATTAAGGATTATTTTAATCTTACATCATTACCTTTTCTCTTTTACTTTCCTTTTTAGTTTTATTTTAGGATTCCCTATTTTTAATGTTCATACAGAGATTTCTTTAACTGAAATACCAAATAGTTTCTCTGGTGTGAAAAAGTATAATAGTACACAGGATCCTAATGAGATAATTAATAATGTGAAATAGAAAGTAAAGCTCTAAAGGTGTAGGGAAAGTGGGAAGGGTGGGGGAAAGGTAATAAGGGAGAGGAAAAAAATATGAGAAACTGAAAAAATGGAAATAAAGTGTTTGTAAATGGGAAGGGGAGGAGGGGGTGAAGGGAGGCCAGGGACAAGGGGTAAAAATGAGAATCAAGACCTGTTATGTAAAGGTACAGGATCCCAATAATCAATGTAACTGTATTGTATACCTATATTGCACCAATACTCAATAAAAAGAAAAAAAAACAAAAAAAATAAAATCATAAGGTTAAAAAAAAAGAGTATGGCCTCAATATGCATCCATTTAGCTATAAATGACTCTAGTTTCTCATTCTTTATGGCTGAGTAGTACTCCATTATATAGAAAAAACCACATCTTCTTTATTCAGTCTCCAGTTGATGGGCAATTAGGCTCTTTCCAAGTTTTAGCTATTACAAACTGTGCCTAAATAAACGTGGGTGCACATATATCACTGTGAATGATTCGTTTAATTCTTTTGGAAAGATACCCAGCAGAGGGATAACTGGGTCAAATGGGACCTCTAATCCTAGTTGTTTGAGGTATCCACATATTGATTTCCACAGTGATTGCACCAGTCTGCAGTCCCTTCAACAATGGAGAAGGATTCCTTTCTTCCCTCAACCCTGCCAGCATTTGTTATTGGTTGATTTCCTGATAGCAGCCACTCTTTCTGAGTTGAGATAGAATCTCAGTATTGTTTTCATCTGTATCTCTCAAATGACCAGTGATGTTGAAGATTTTCTTATGTTTATTTGGTACTTTTACTTCTTTGTCTGAGAAATGTCTGTTCATTTCAGATGCCCATTTTTGTACCAGGTCTTTATATTTTGGGGCAGTCTGATTTTTTTTAGTTCTTTATATATTCTTGATAGTAGACCTTTGTCTGAGAAGTAGCTGGTAAAATTTTTTTCCCAGATTGTAGGTTGTCTCTTAGCTCCATTGGTGTTTTTCTTGCTGCGCAGAAGCTTTTTAATAAGGTGAGATCCTAGTTGTTTGCACTTGTTCACATGATGAGAATTTGTTCATAAAGTCTTTTCCTATGTCAATGTCTCAGAGAGTTCTACCTAACTTACCTTCCAGCAAGTTTAGTGTTTCTGTTTTATTTAGATCTTTAATCTACTTCAATTTTAGTTTATTGCGTGGTGAAAGATAAGGGTCCAGTTTTAATCTACAGCAGGTTGAAATCCAGTTTTTCCAACACAGTTTATTGAAGAGTCTGTGTTTCCTCCAGTGAGGATGGCTCCTTTGTCAAAGAAGAGGTAGCTGAGTACACCTGGATTTGTTTCTGAGTCTTCTAGTCTATTCCACTGATCCTTGGGTCTGTTTCTTTGCCAGTACCATGCTGTTTTTGCCACAGTGGCTTTGTAGTGTTTTTTCAAGATCAGGATTGCGATACCCACCTGTCATGTCTTTGTTGCCTAGAATGGCTTTTGATATTCTAGGTCTCTTCTGGTTCCAAATGAATTTTTAGATTGCTTTCTCAAGTCCTGTGAAATATACTGTTGGGATTTCAATCAGAATTTCATTGAATCTGTATAGTAGTTTTGGAAGTCTGGCCATTTTCAGTATGTTGATTCTTCCTAACAAGGAGCAAGGGATGTTTGCCCATCTTCTTATATCCTCTTCTATCTCTTCATTCAGTGTAAATGGCTTTTGCTTCCTTTGTTAGATTAATTCCTAGATATTTCATTTTTTGGATACTATCATGAAATTGTTTCCCTAATTTCTCTCTCAGTGAGTCTGTTTTTTGTGTACAAGAAGGCTGTTGATTTTTGAGTGCTGCCCTTGTATGCATCTCCTCTACTAAATCTGTCAATTAAGTCTGGAAGTCTTTTGGTGGAGATTTTTGGGTCTTCTAAGTAGAGTATCATATCCTCAGCAAATAGTGACAGTTTAACTTCTTCCTTTCCTATCTTTATTGCTTTGATTTCTTTCTCTTGTCTAATTGCTGTGGCTATTGTTTCCAGAACTATATTGAACAGGAGTGGTGACAGTGGACCTCCTTGTCTTATTCCTGATTTTAGCATGGAGGTTTTCAGTTTGACCATTTAGAATGGTAGGGCTGTTGGTTTTTTGTAGATAGCCTTTATCAGGTTGAGATAAAGACCATCTATTCCAATTTTCTGCAGAGTTTTTATCATGAATGGGTGTTGGATTTTGTTGAATGGTTTTCCTGCATCTATTGAGACGATCATATCGTTTTTGTCCTTGAATCTGTTAATATCGTGTATTACATTTATTGATTTATATATCAATAAATCAATAAATAAAAATAAATAAAATATCAATAAATAAAAATGTTGAAACATCCTTGCATCCCTGGGATAAACCCAACTGGTCAGGGTGTATGATCTTCTTGATGAACCTCTGTATTCTGTTTGCCAGTATTTTATTGAGGATTTTTGCATCTGTGTTCCCTTAGGGAGATTGGCCTGTAGTTCTGTTTTTTGGTTGGATCTTTTCCTGGTTTTGGAATCAAAGTAACACTTTCTTCCAGGAATGAATTTGGAAGTATTGCCTCCCTTTCAATTTCATTGAAGGGTTTAAAGAGTAGTGGCAATAGTTCTCTAAATGTTTTGTAGAATTCAACACTGAAGCCATCAGGACCTGGGCTTTTCTTTGTTGGTAAAAGTTTAATTATGTTTTCAATTTCACTGATTGTAATTGGGATGTTTAAAATTTTTTTGTATCTTCTTTGTTCAACTTTGGTGATTCATATGTATTCAGAAATCTGTCCATTTCTTGTGCTTTCAAATTTATTAAGACTACAGATTCTTATAGGTTTCTGCTGGATCTGTTGTGACTTCACCATTTTTGTTTCTAATTGCATGGATTTGAGCCTTTTCTTGATAAGGTTGGCTAAGGATTTATCAATTTTATTTATTTTTTTTTCAAAAAACCAACTCTTTCACATTGCTAATTATCCCGTTAGGATCTTGAGTACTATTTTA